ATGTCCATGAGGGTTTGGGTGCATAAAATGACACATTATCATTTCACAGGGACTACACTCTCTTATAAAAAAAAAACTGTAAGATGATATTTTCTCTCCTAAAATTGGAATGGTTTCATTCCTTTCTCCAGTTACTAAAATTACCTGTATCTTTTGTTCAAAAGAATCTTAAAGGGAAAAAACACAACAGGGAAAAACCAAGGAAGAAGTGAAAATTGCCTGAAATTCCATACCCAATCTGTGTACTACGAAGCTTCTTCAGGTGTCCACTCTGCTGTCAGTGGCTCCCTGACCTGTTCTACCGCCCAAGCGCTGTCTCAGGACGCGGTTCCCGCTAGAACCAATGGAAAGACTAAAGAAAATATGTAGTCTTAAGGGAAGGCTTGGATTTCTGAGTCCATTTCAACTCCATGGGCCTGCCCCCTGGATTGCCTCAAATATTGTCAGGAGGAGGGTCCAGCTGATGTGATGCCTATGGTTTTGGGGTACAGGGACATAAGGGAAGGATTTTGTATTTGCCGAGAGTGACAAATACAAAAACATTGGTACCAAACTGAGAAGAGTTTTTCTGAGCATAAGCCAAGGTGAAGGAGGCTGATGCTAAAGGAAGGTTAGCAGTTCCAGGTCTGGGGGCCATGCATAACCCCCAAAGAGTGTCCCCTGGAAACCAGGCTAACAGGGCATTGAGAGGCCAGCATTGGCCCTAATACATAGCTACCACATAGCAAAGTATGATATTCACAATGGAGCAGCAGACATCCCAGTTTAACTGTGTGCATTGCATGTGATGAGGGGCCTGAAATGAGTATTCATTTATTCAATAGAGTTGGAAAAATCATCATCAGTTGAGAACCTTAATAATTGTGACGTAAACTCTCGGGAGGAAAGATGTCTCGGTTGGTAGAGTCTGTCATGCAAGCATGAGGACCTGAACTCAGGCGATGCCCAGAACCCATGTAAAACTGGTCCCAGCAGCCCACATCTGCAATCCCAGCTCCACAGAGGAAAGTGTCTCTCCGGAGCTCACCGTTACCCAGCCTAGCCAATCAATGAGCGCCATGTTCAGTATGAGACCCAAAAAGTAGAGTGGAGGTCAGGGGAGCTGGAGATGGCTCAGCAGTTAAGAGCACTTGTTGCTCTTGCAGAGGACCTGGGTTCAGTTCCCAGCTTTAACGCGGTGGCTCACAAACATCTGTAACTCTAGTTCCAGGTGACCCAGTGCCTTCTTTTGACCGCCCCCTGTACAAGACACAAATGTGGTTCACACACACACATGTAGGCAAAACGCCCATGTAAATAGGATAAATAAATATTTTTAAAATTTTAATAAATACACCGGGGAGGAATCAAAGAAATCACCTGATGCTGACCTCTGGCTTCCAAAGATGTGCATCTGCCATGTGTTTGTCCAAACATTCACATAAGCACCTCACGCTCCCACACCCATAAACATAATACATAAAATTTAAAAAGTAAAATTTAATTGTTTTCGGTCATTTTCTGTGAATTGCTGAGTTTGCTTCTGAGGAAGCTGGCTTAACCTGTGGGTGCTGGACATTGACCTCCACTAGCCGAGACACAGACTCTCCCCAGAGGCAGGCTGCCAGTGACAGCAGAGACTCTTATGAACAGAGCTGGAGCTTGGAAGCATCTACAGCCAGTTCAGACCATTCTGATCTTTGGTGTGCCCACCCTTGACCCTTATGGTTCTGTTCTAGCCTGGCACTCAGTGGTCATTAGTGTCTCTATGTCTACCTTGACTCTTGATGATTGACCCTCAGTGCATCTACGTCCACTCTGACCCTCCATGGATCTGTGTCCAACCTTGATCCTCCGTGGATCTGTGTCCAGCCTTGATCCTCCGTGGATCTGTGTCCAACCTTGATCCTCCGTGGATCTGTGTCCAACCTTGACCCTCCGTGGATCTGTGTCCAACCTTGACCCTCCGTGGATCTGTGTCCAACCTTGACCCTCCGTGGATCTGTGTCCAGCCTTGATCCTCCGTGGATCTGTGTCCAGCCTTGATCCTCCGTGGATCTGTGTCCAGCCTTGATCCTCCGTGGATCTGTGTCCAGCCTTGATTCTCTGTGGATCTGTGTCCAGCCTTGATTCTCTGTGGATCTGTGTCCAGCCTTGATCCTCCGTGTATCTGTATTCATCCCTGTTCCTCTGTTAATCCACATCCACCCCTCACCTTCAGTGAACCTAGGTTTATCCCTGGCCTTCAGTATATCTACATTTATCCCTGAACGTCAATGGATCTGTGCTCACCCCTGATCCTCAGTTGACCTGTGTCTATATCTGGTACCCAGTGGGTCTATGTTCATTCGTGGCTCTTAGTCAGGTCTGTGTCTACCCCCGTCCTCAGTGGATCTCTTTGATCCTTGGCCCTTGGTACGCATCCACCTTGTATTACAGTGTGCAGTCACACTTGCCCCCAGTGCCCCCTCTGGACACCTTGCCCACACATCTGAGTACCTTTCTGGTGTAGGACATGCCATCTATAGTGGCACGCTCCTATCCCACGGACAGGCAGGAGTGGACCCTTTTCTCAGGCAACCATGAGAATTCCAAATCAGATCCTTAGTTTCCCCCATCGCTATCATCATCTCTGCCTCTGAACAACCTGCTCACTGGTCCCCATCCAGGGTGAATATCTCACAGGCAGACGGTCTCCCTGGCCTCGGGAAGAATTCACTCCAACCCCTGATGGAGCAGGAGGCCAGGATTTGGTAGTTGGTTACCACGACTCTCAGATGTGAAGTCTTAAGAGGGCTCAGGATTCTCAGGACTTATATTCATGAAAGAGAGAACATCATCCAAGGTCCAGAGAAGAGGGACTCTCAAGTGTGCCGGGGTGGTACAAGGCTGTGTTCTTAGAGCAGTGATGCCCTGTTACCCCTACTGCCTGCAGTTCCCCAGCTAGAGCTCCGTGGGCTGGACCTAAGTCCCTCTTCTCCGGGCTCCACAGCAAAAATGCTGATGTAAATAACCACTTCAGAGGGGAAAAATGGTCTTAACCATACATTTGCATACAAATACACTAATTATACTCCTCTTCCTATGTGCTGGAATGGAATTAGCAGTTACAGCTATTCTGGAACACAATATTCTTAAAACCTGTAGGCATATAGGCCTGCAGAGATGCCTAAGTACACATGGAAATGTGTTTGTACATGCATATATATGCACACTTTGCGTTCATGTGTCTGTATAAATACCTGTGTGTGTGCCTTTATAACCATATGAGCATATATGTGTCTGTCTCTGTGTGTGTATCTGTTTGGGTGTGCCTGTGTGAACATGTGTACATGTGTGTCTGTGAGAACATGCATGTCTGTGTGCAGGTATATCTATGTGTTATCTATATGTGTGTCCTTGTGTCTGCACATTCGTGTGTCTCTGTGTGTGGTTGTGTCTTTGTGTCCATGTACATACATATGTGTGTGTCTGTGTAGCTATTCGTATGTACCTGAGCACTGATGACAAAGCCTTCAACATATGAGTCTAGGGGGACATCTCATGTCAAAACCATGCCAATGCTGAGCATCTTTGTGGCTGGTCGGTTTGTGGTTATTAGTGCCTGTGTGCTGGGGCAGGAGATCTTTATATTTCCGAAACAGACGAGATCAGGCATGTTCCGAGTGGCAGCTAGCTGTAGACTATTTCTGAAACAGAACCATGAAGTTCCTGGGCCTGTCTCTGAAGGCCTTGCCTTCTGTTGACACCCACTTCACCCCACCGCCACACGATCTGTTTCTGCATATTGTGACTGCCCTTTGGAAGGCAGAAGAGAGAGCAGCTGGTGTTCCTGATGAACTCCAGTCCCCTCACACGCAGGGTGTCACAGCAGCAACACCTTAGTAAAGACTCCTGCTGTCAGGGGACAGCCTCGGGGACTGCTTTGCGATGGAGTTCGCTAGAAAGCCAGATTGGACTGAAGGAACAAACTGCATCCTTCCAGGGAAGTGTAAAGTCCTGGAAACACCCGAGAATGAGCATCCTGTTTCTTTCTTATCCTGTTGTGACCACAGCAGCCTAGCTGAACAGCCACTTTTCTAAGTCAGGGAGTCAACCAAGCTAAACAGAGGAGCAGCTAAAGGTTCAGGAAGTGGAGCAGGGTAGACAGTGCCAGCGATTGAAGGGCAACCTTCAGCAGGGAGGGCAGGGAAGAACAGGGCATGGGCATAACGAGAGCGAAGCAGAGGGGGCTTTGGAAGGGGTTCTGTCTAGTTAGGACCCTTAGATGGATGACCCACGAGGTCTGTGAGCCTGGGGTTAGACGTCTCTTTGGCAGTGGTAGGGTGGGTTTCAGAGATGTGGGTCAGGGAGTGAGAAGCAGGCATACAGGCCTGAGGGAGTTTCTGTCTCTCTGTTTCTGTGTAGAGAAGGGAGAACCTGGCAGAGGAGCTTGGGAAAAATGAAATGAGAAGAGCCATCCTTCCCACTGTGGGCGGGTGGGATCCAGAGCACAGAGCAAACCCCTTTTCCTGACGGAGCAGGACACATGGCATGAACAGAGAGTGAGGCAGAAGAGGTTCTGTCCTTCTGGTGAGGACCCTTAGACGGATGGGAAAAGACTGGGCGTTGGGTCTGAGCTTCGGGAGTTGGTTCTTGCCTTCTGGTGCGATGTTCCCAAACATCTGCCTCATTTGTTAATGGAGGACAAAACGCTAAGGAAGAGGAGCTATTATGTTTTCATTCGTCTTGTCAGAACCTTGCATTGAGAGGCTCATTTGCACAGTGAGGACGCTGTTGGGAGAGAAAGCACAAACCACGGGGATTCAGTTAAATGCTCTTGGAATAGACGTAAAAAGGTCCCTGAAATGGCTCTTAACCAGGGGTCAGGGTGGCGGGGAGTAATTCCATGGGGTCCCAAAGCCACGTGAAAATCAAGGCAGTGAGTGGCTATGTGCATGCTGTAAGGAACGGAGTCTTTCCTGACTTCTCCAAGGGCGGCGTGTCCCTGTCTAAACACGGGATTTGTCCTATCATTACAGGGGTTTGAGAGGCACTGGCAGAGATCTCGCGAGATGGCACCAGATGACGATAGGCACGTAGGATGAGGCCCCGCCTGGAAACCGTCCTCACGGGTAAGGACCGGGGCTGTTGAGCAAGGGCCTATTGCCTGGGAAGAAGCAAGGGTCTGCCATGTGCAGCCCCAAGGCAACATTAAATGGCAGATAGCGTTACAATCGGGCAGAAGACTGGATGTGGAAGAAGCAAAGTATGAACATTCAACCGTGGATGCCCGTGGTGTTCTGGGAATGCCGTCCCTGCTTACGGGTTGGGGAAGCTGGCACGGGGGAGCTGTTTTTGGAGCTAACACTGAGTTTCGTGTATTAAAAACCTGCATGAGGGGTGCGTGTGGGAGGGTACCAACGTCCTTCAGAGAGCTCGAAGCCTCCTCAACCTGCCTCTCTCTTACCTGCCTGCCTTGTGGGGGCAGGTGATTAACTAGTGAAAGCCAGATGTTTCTTGGAGGATGGAACTTGGAGTTTCCGTCTTCCTCCTACAGGGACACGTGCCCTTCTGTCACCCCCAGCCTCTGCTGTAAGAACAGCAGCTTCACAGCAGGGAGAACCGTTAGGAAGGCAGGTGACCTCTGTGCCACAGCGGCCTTGCCCACTGCTCACAGAGCACAGTGGATGTCCACCTGCCTCCTCTCAAGTGTGCCCACTTCAGTCTGGTTTCTGGAGCTCTCCCTGCACCCCACACTCTGTCCAGGGCCAGGCTCTCCTCACCTGCCTCCTTTCCTCCCCTCCCCCTCCTGCATGTCCTGGCTCTTCCTCCTTACCTTTCCCCTTTACTCTCACCTACTCATTCTCTCTTCCTAGCCTTCCCTGCCCACCCTCCTTCCTTCTTCCTTCTTTGCTCTCCCTTTCCCCTCATAACCCCTCCTCCTCACCCCCCCCCCCCCCGCCCCCCCTTGCTCCTCTCCTTCAGCATCTTTTCCTTTCTTCCCGGTCCCTCTCTGGATTTTGTTTCGTGTGCTCTTCTTGGGTGTTTTCAGCTACTGCATATGTTCTCAGGCATGACTGACAGGTGAAGACAGGCACGGTGTGGCCAAGCTTGACCCTGCTCTTCCCACTCAGTTCCTGGTCTTCCACCCATGGAGTGGAGAGTCCTCTTCTGCACACAACATGGGTGTTCCTGAGCCATGCCTGGGTAGATGAAGGAGGCCCTCTTTCCTGCAGTCTTGCCTTGTGCCACCCATAGCTCTGTCTCCGCAAGTCGCCACCTCTTCAGGCTGCCCCAAAGGTGCCTTGGTGGACCACCAGAGCTGCCTTCTTTACTATCTCGATTAACATTGCCCCCAGACTAGAGGTGGTAGGGGACCATAATTGCCCTAAGCTCTGGCAATGAAGGAAGGATGTTTTGTAATTTCCTCTGCTCTGTATCCCAGCATTCCTCGAGTCAGCCATTAAAAACGTCTTGATGTCTAACCTGAGTCCCCTCAGTGCCGTTTGTTGACTGTGTTACCGTTGCTGGGAATTTTCATTGAGAGTCTAATTGTTGTTTTTCTTTCGACACCCACACTGTTAGTACTATGTTTGGGAAGTGAGAAAGCAGAGACTATGAGTTGCAGAACAAAACCCAAATTTGTTTGGCCACAATAGTCTAAAAGAAGCAACCTTTTCTTCAGATGTTGGTCTCACTGACAGACACAGTTGAGGAAGTCAGCGGGTTGTGTGAACAAGTGCATAAGAGGACCAGAGGCCTGCACCTCTGTCATGGGGCATCCCAACCTTGTGCTGGGCTAGAGTCAATGAAAGCCTGGTGTCTACCCTTCAGAAGAGCAAGAATATGCTCTCCCCTGCCCTGTACATTTCAGGGACTGGAGCTGGATCGGGTTTCTCATGAAAGGCTCCACAGCACCTTACCCTCCCAGTCACGGGATGCCTATGGAAAGCTTCCGCCCAGAGTCTTGAGGCGCCATCCTTGGATGTAGGCAGAGGTCAAAGGGAAAGCCTGGGCTCCTCCCACCTGCCAGTCACTAGCTGCTGTTCAGTGCCTTGCAGCCTGGAGTCAGCAGGGCTCAGCCAGAGTAGAGAGTCCGGCAACATGTGACATCAGATTCCAGCAAAGAAGTCTGCCACCACACAAAGAATCAGAACGATCTCAGAGTGAGTAAGAAAGGACAAACAGCAGATCTGAGGTCAAGATGGCCAGACACTAGAATTTCCGGACCGCAACATAGTCCCCTACTGTGAAGATGCCCCAGTGAACAACCAGATATGAGCGAGTGGAGCCACCGCCATGGATCAGAACACGCAAATAAAAACTGACTGAGAAATTTAGAACTGAGAAATACAAGAAATTCAGTGGAATTCTCCAGGGATGGGCTCAGCCGAGCTTGGAGTAGACAGATGGGAGTGAACCAGAGACAGAACAACCTATTGTGCTTGGTCTTCAGCTGTAACAACAAAATTTGGTGGTGGTAATCAGTTTTGGCAGTGCCAAGGACTCATTTTGCCTACAGTACTGATGGGATGCAAAATGGTCCAGCTATTCTGGAAGGCTCCTTGGCAATTTCCATTGGAAATAAACTTGCAACAGTCAGCCAATCTAAAAAAAAAAAAAAAAAAACTCACACTTGGGAAAAATTAAAAACTTTTTCTCTTCCCCAGAGTGGGGCTGGGTGGGTGGGGGCATACAGGAATGGTTACAGCAGCTTTGTTCATAATAGCAAAGTCCTGGAAATAATCAAAATGCTCTTCGGCTTCCGGACGGTTGGTCAAACTGTAGTTCACCCTGCCAGTTAGTTGTGAAAGGGTGCCGTGTGCACAAAGGACCGGGCCATCTCCGGGGAACTGTGTGAGCTGATCTCAGAATAATCGGGCTCCATGATTCTGTTTTCTCAGCCTCCCAGAATGGCTTGACTGGGACTAGAGGGGGGGCTGGTGATATCACGGGTAAAGAGTGGATGTGGCCAGAGTACAGCAGTGGGGAGCCGGCAAATGCTGGTAAGCTAGATGCTCAGTCAGACTGTGCCCTGCTGCGCCCTGCTGTGGGGAGCAGCCTATAGGTTTTCAGGAGGTGTCTGTCTTATGTCCTGGGGAACGAGGCAGCAGGATCTCTCCGTGTTATACTGATGGCTTTCTGTGAGTCTGCAGGGTCTCCAGGGCAGTGACAGCAGCCTTGCCTTGTGCATGGGAGCCATTAGTCACCAGGTTCCCTCGTGCCTATGGATTTGGAGAGTTATGTCCCATAAATCATAACTGAAAAACACTTGTCAATTTCTCTGTCAACATTATGGCTAAAAAATGGATCTAATTAGCAAGTTTTCAGTCCGGTTCATTACACACTCTTGTGTATATGTGAAAATTAACACTTAGTAATTGTGTTCCTTTGACAGAGAAAACAAACCCATTTCAAAAATAAAATGACCAAACTCATATATGGGTTTAACAATCAGAAAGATGGGTCAGGTGGCGGTGGTGTACGCCTTTAATCCCAGCACCCAGGAGGCAGTAATTCCAGCACTCAGGAGACAGAGGCAGGCAGATCTAGTTCTAGGACAGGCTCCAAAACTACAGAGAAACCCTGTCTCAGAAGAAAAAAAGAAAAAGGAAAAGGAAAGGAATAAAAAACAATTAGAAAGCTGACATTATAGGCACTGGGGAAGCTGAAGCAAGAAGCTTGCTGCAAGTTCAAGAGCACCCTGGATCACAATATAGTGAGGCCCTATCTCAAACAATAACAATAGACAAGCGAATGAAATTATTTCAGCCGCTTTCTCAATCCATAAGTAATTATTACCCCAATCATACGATGTTTTTCTTGGTAGAACAGGTAAGATTGAAAACAAGGCAGGGCTGAGGAGATGGCTCAGTGGTTAAGAGTGCTGGCTGCTCTTCCAGAGGACCCAGGTTCAATTCCCAGCACCTGCATGGCAGCTCACAACTGTCTGTAAATTCCAGTTCCAGGGGATCCGGCCCCCTCACACAGACATACCTGAAGGCAATACACCAATGTACATACAATGAAAATAAATTTTTTTAAAAAATTAGCAAGGCAATATCTCAGCAAATGTCAAGCGTGGCCTCCTGGTCATGGTCAGATGCGTTTTAATTTTAAAGGATTCTCAGCTGCAGTCATTCAGGAGTCGGTTAAGAGAAAATTAACCTCGTTTAGGTCCCCCGTGACCTGTGTACTTGTGAGACCCTGTCCTCTCAACACTTGTCTCTGCCTGGACAAAGAACAAGTCCAGTGGAAGAGACGAGAACAGCTCTGTGAGAACCTACAGATGGGACTCGTTCTCCTTGAACCAGATTTATGAACATACCACAGCCACATGGATGGGGAAACACCCACCAAAAGTGTTATAGGAAGCTGGGAAGATAGTCTGATCAGTAGAGGGCTTGCTATACATGCATGAGGACATGGATTTAATCCCCATCCATGTTTAACATCCATGTTAAAAATCAGGCATGACACATTCTTGCAATCCCAGAGCTGGGAAGACAGGAGAGACAAGCAGTTCTCTGGGGCTCACTGGCCAGCTAGGCCAGCCTACCCATTCTCTCCAGGCCAAGTGAGAGACCTTGCCGCCACACACACTCACAGCTGTGCACACACACTCACACCTGTGCGCACACACTCACACCTGTGCACACACACTCACACATGTGCACACACACTTAAGTTGTCGAAGCCTAAGCTTAGACCAGAGTTGTCCTCGGAGCCTCCTCTTTGGAGTGCTCTTGGTGTGACAGGTCCTCTGACATCTGACCTACCCCAGGCGAGACTATTTTCAAAGTTGTTCACTCTCTGATACTGAGTGAGTTCTGGCCCTTGGCACCATAACACCGTGTTGGATGCTGTTTATACCCTCTCTGGGAGTGATAAATGTGGACCAGCCTTCTGAACTATCACTGGGCATGAGGGGCACTTCTCTCGTGACCAATACAAATGTCTGTGGAGATCTCTATGTGTCCCCTGGGAAGCAGGGCTAGCAGTGGGTCCCAGAAGAAGCTGGTCTGGAAGGCACCTGGGCTGTCTACCTAACAAGGACTCATTAGTACAAAGGGAACGCTTGCCTTTGCTTCTCCAGCTCTGACATTGCGTGTTGCGGGGTATGATTGTACTG